CGTGTCTATGCTCAAGGGATCTTACCAGCATTTCCTGCGTTGAAGAATCTTGGACTTCTTGGAGTATTACTTCTTTTAGGAATATACATTATTTAATAACATTTTCAGTGACTGATTTTGTGTTTCTGGCTTAGAGAAGCACAAATGAGAACGTACCAACAACTTCTTTTTGCATTGCTTATCTTAAAGTTCGATGCCTCCGGGTTTCTCTTTTCCCACAACAATGCACATTTTTAATTCCATATTGTGTTTACTTCCTGACTCCAGCTATCTTCATTCTTCCTCAGTTTGCTGAATTCCTTTCTCATTTCCTTCAGTCGTAACGTCCCTCTCTGCCCTTAATGCCACATGCTGTCTCTCTTCCTAGCTCTGCTCATTTTTTAAGCACTCCTCTTCCTCTCATCATAATTATCTGAACACACAATTTACATACGTACCAGCCACATGTGCTCAACTTCAACCTGACTCCAGTCTTTGAGTACTCACAAGGCCCTCTCCTGTTTTTCCCTTCTACACTTCCATCAATTTCTTGCCTACAATACCAACACTCGCATTCCTCTCCTCGAGTTCTTATCTTTACAATTTACGCTATTTTTTCGTGTGCTTGCATTACTCTACATCCACACATCAAGCAACTTTCGGCACTTACAGTTATCAAACTTCTTCCTTTGATTCACCCCCTCACTTGTTCGCTGATTCTGTTCATTTGCTTCTCCCCCCTCCGCTAGTCCCCCCAGGGACTTCGTCACTCCGCAGGTCGGTGTCCCCTCCCCACCCTCTCCTAGTCCTTCAGAGGCACTCCGTCACTCAAGAGGTCAGTATTCCATCCCCTCCACCACTCCCCCAGCCCTTCTCCCTCCTAATATATGTAGTTCCCCGCAGGGTCTCCATCACTCCGCAGGTCGGTGTCCCCTCCCCACCCTCTCCTAGTCCTTCAGAGGCACTCCGTCACTCCAGAGGTCAGTATTCCATCCCCTCCGCGACTCCCCCAGCCCTGACTAGCACTCCGCCACTCCGTGGGTCGGTGTTGCAGTCACCGCCACGTGGTGACACTGGCGTCAGGGCCGTGCAGCTGCCGCTGTTGCGCCAACGCAACACAACGAACGCGTGCAGGCATAACATTGTCATCTGGTCTTGAGTTACTGAATGCCCAAGAGAAAGTGTCTTCCAGTCACTCTCTCTTGTAGTTATGCAATAAATTTTGCTTAATTGAATCATCATATTCCTAGGAATTAACAAGGAATTGTATCTCATTCTTGCATTAGTGTTTGAGAATATTACAATTATCTTTGTGATCTTCAGGTATGCGTTAAACGTCAGCTAATACGTTTGTTTATATTTTTTCTGCCGAAGAAAATAAGCTCGTGGAGCCGAACTTCATTCCCTTAACGATGTCCACTTTAAGTACGTTTATAAAGTCAGAGTGAGGAAACAGTGAGTGGGGAAGTGATTAATGAGGCCGCGACAGTGGTGATTATAACGTGAGTCTCCAATATGATTTTTTGATTTATCATGATGGCTGAAAGACTTTCTCATTTTATTTTTATTCACAGTTTGGGAACGCAAGTTGCAGATGAAAATTATTTTACACGCAGCTCATTTTAGTATTGTCCTTATAAGTATAATACTGATGTCAACAAATATGTTGTTTTCTACTCAAAATATTCTAAATGTCGTCAAACACCGATGTGATTTTTAGAACGAACTGTGTCTTCGTAAAACGAAAGATCATGGTTGAAATTTAGGCTTAAATAAATTATGAACGCTTTAGTTCACTAGCTACTGTACCCCAAATGCACCAAATTAGAAGGCATTGTAATTGCACTTATAAATCTCGCTCACGAAACAATGACCTTTCAGGTAATTGTTGCTGTAGCTCAAAATTAATTTTGATTGTATTTTAATTATTAGATTTCCGGTTTTGATTAGAAACTTTGATGATTGCCATGCAAATATTTATTACAAATATTATAGGGTTCAAATCAACGTAAAATATTATTGTTATAACACAGCATAATCTTCTGAAACAGGCATCAATTTTATTGATTATTTTTGTATTAACGCCTTTATTTGCAATATGAAAAAAAATGTTTGCTGCAAACTCAAATCTCTTACTCTCAGAATTAATTTCATTTACTATCTCCGTAAACGAAGCAATATACCTGCATGATACGTAATAGGTACTTTATCTCTCATGCAAATTTACACTTCTTCTCTTACATAAACAGATAACCAACATTTTCAAACATAAAGAATTTGAATTTTAAATTTCATTTTCATTTTCAAATTTTGCAAGCTTTTCATCTAAACAAAACTTCAATTTTTATATCCTATAACTTTTACAGAAAAGATCAAGACTTTGCTCTTTCAGTGATCATTCCAAGTAATTTAACTCTGAAATAATTTCGTGTTTATAAAAAAATTATTGGGAGTTTTTATGTTATAAGGAACACGCAGGCTGAGCTCCGCATGATCTGCAGTCAATGGTTGGCGATTTTTCCGCTCAGTTGAAGCTATCAAAGCCAGAGCCTTGGAAGTCTTCGATTGTTATGGGACCCGCAGGCTCAAGCCAGGCATACACCGGCCCATTAAAACCTGCCAACAAACGCTCGCCTCTTTTATTTATCTTCAAATAAATTGCGTTGTCGTCGCTTCAGTGATTTATTTCGAACCATATTCTGGCACATGCCAATTATTAAGCCAAAACACAGGAATTAAAATAATCGGCATTATTGCGGGCATTTTACGGAAGTAATTAACTTTAATAAATAATTTCAGTAGTCACGGAAGTCCGCTTCCGGAGCTTAACTGAAAGGCTCTGTACTTAAGAGTTTTCGGCTCATTTGGTGAACACTTTGAATTTTTTTAGGAGGGGTTTCATGTTGAGTAAAACAGCGACGCGCTACGGTTTTGGAGGATGGCGTGAAATTTCAGTGCACAATTGAGAATTTATTCCGTCTTTCTTAGTCTCACTAAAACCTGAGTGTTGTTCAGCACTGCAGAAAAAAGAATTAAAGGGTTTCGTTGAAGTGTTGGAAATTAATCTCACGTAGTTTTCTCTCACAATTATCTGTTAAAGACCGATTAAATTTGCGCTGATTTTTAATTGTTCATTGTAGTGAATATTAAAATGAGGTTCATCAAATAATGCTCCAAGTTTAAAGAAAAGCTATGAATCTCTGTCATTTTGGTGTTGTTCAACGATTTTATTAATTTTAAATTACCATACCATCTTACCATCTTACCATCTTTTAAAATCGTGCATTATATTTTCCCTAATTATAAATTCCCGAGCGACTGAGATATGTTTTTGAATGTTATGCTTTGTAATGCAATACGTTTCTTGTAGGGCGTACCAAAATTTAACACTTACAATTAATGGAAATAAATTTTCGTCATACGAGTTAGAATAAAGTTCTTAATTTATAAGGTATATAGACAGGAGCTACAGTTGGGTCCTGACCGCAGTGCCCCGATTCAACAGTTGCTTATCCCTTATTATGGCGGGATCACAAAACGAACTTCAAGCCGAATATGACTGCACGATGGCGATGCATATAAATTCATTAAATATGGCTTTAGTAAAAGCGCTTCGAGTCTTTCACAGAAAATAAAAGAGTTGAATTTTAACCAATTAACCGTATAGCCCCCTTCTTTAGTTACGAACGGCACCGTAAACGTAGAGCAGCGTGTTCCGAACAGTGCAGTGTACGTGTTACGAACAGCATCGTAAACGCTATACAGTATGTTACGAACGGCACCGTAAACGCTATACAGTATGTTACGAACGGCATCGTAAACGCGCTGTGCAGCGTGTTACGAACAGCATCGTAAACACTGAGCAGCGTGTTACGAACAGCATCGTAAACGCTGTGCAGTGTGTTACGAACGGCACCGTAAACGCTATACAGTGTGTTACGAACGGCATCGTAAACGCTATATACAGTGTGTTACGAACGGCATCGTAAACGCGCTATGCAGTATGTAAAACGTAGCGTCCGTAGTCAGGAGGGCAATCTAGCTTCTCTTTAGAGCCAACGAGGAAGGAATTTATTTCGGATCATCAAATAAATTTGAATATATTATTTCATTCTCGCCCGCGATGACGCAAATCTATTAATAAGCCCCTAATATAACGAATTTCCATCCAGGCTTTGGTCTATTAATTGTTGGAAGATGCACTAATGTACGGTGTCTGCGAATTGTATCGAACTTAGCCTTTTTATTGTAGATACACGAGAATTATTTTAAGCTAGAAACAACTTAAAAGTATGAGGCATCTTAAGAAAAAATAGGAATTAAAAACTACAAATTGATTGAAGTAAAAAATTGTAAAAAATACAAAAAAAAAATAAAAACATTATTTAATCACGGTATAACCAGTATAAACAGTAAGAAAAGGAAATAGCATGTTTTAATCACGGTAAAAATATTGAGCAATCAGAACCATTTATTCCATCACTTTTTGAAAAAAATTGGATATTAAATTAGAAACGAAGAGAGTTCGCTCAATTAATTAAGTCACAAAATTTATACACAAGCCCCTTAACTGGAAGATTGTTCGTGTGTAGAGTATGATTTTAGAAAAATTGCTGTGTTATAATTATTGATAAGAATGTATCAAAATAAATTTTCCTTACCGTTACCAGCAATAAACACTTCTGACTAGTTCTGTTCTAAGATTTAATAGCACGACGTGCGATTCAGTCAGTGTACATCAATGACACGGCAGTAGTTTCAAGCGAATTAGTGTAGATCAATTTAATCACTTGTCATAAAGTTGCTGCACTTGTTTCCTTGTTGAAACAAATGGAAAAACCGTTATTCAAAAAACTGATAGATGAGAAACGGTTATTCATTCTTCGTTCAAGTTTTACATTGTTCTAATTCATTAGTTATGTGAGTAATATAAATATTCATTGATCCACAGCACCTCCATATCAGTTTTCTCGTCCGGTTTGTTCAACACAGTATAACTAGGAACGTGTCAGGCGGCTCACTTGACCACGACCTTCTGCCATGCCTGAAGAGCGGCGAGTGACTGCCGTAGACTGGGAGCAGCTGGCTGGAGTGAGTGCCAGGAACTCGAGACATCAAGGCGGTAGGCGAGTCTTGCAGAGCACGCATGCTCGCACCCGGTGCCATTGTATTGGCCGGAACCTGCGAGATCAGAAGGCGATCGCACCGCCTTCTTATCTCTAACCGTCCGCCCATATGTTGTATTAAAGCCGTGCCTTGAGCACCTAAATGCATGCCACGCAGTGGCACGGCCACCATTGCCATCATCATCATATCCTTGGCGATGGCCTCACGCTGCCACTCATAAATGAGCCTCCTCTCCAGGCGTCAAGTGTCCAGGAGGCGTCAGGTTGATTAGTAGCGCCATTGCGGCGGTCTTAAAAACAACCGCAGTGCCCATGCCAACTTGCAGCGCTACCCGCTCTGATTGTTCTTCGTGTGCAGCGTTTCATACGGTGTATCTACGCCATTTTTACTGTATATAAAGAAACTAATAGGATTTTAGTCGAATTTTTACCAATTACCAGAAAATTATTTCACTAATTGGTAAATGAAAATCAATAGTATAGTTACAGTTACTCTACTTTCTCGTAGTTCCTCCAATTCTAATTCTATAGTAACATAGAGATTTTATATATAGTGACCAAAACTACCAAATAATACGAAATAACCAATAGACTTACAAAACTCGATGAGAGAATTCGTGTGACTACGTATAATAATTTTCCCGTGATTTTGATTTACTTTAATCACGGGATAAATAATAAATTTTATAATAAATATAATAATAATATAAGTATAATAAATTTTCCCCGTGATTTACTTTTTTTTTGTTAACTTTGCTGTGTTTTCATTGTCTTTAGCGTGATTCGTTTATTTTTTCATACAATTAAATTAAAGAACATCAATGGTGACTCCAGATAATATCCTATTTTAGCAGAAGTATAATTCTACTCTCAATGATATTAAAATATAGTCCAATCTTCACTGTTTCTTCTTCCAAAGGATCTAGCTAATACTTAACGTATTAATTATTACCTTTATTCAGTTCTAATACGGAAAAATTCATATACACGTTCATGTACTTGAAGAATGGCAATTAATAATATAAGCCTTGCATAAGGCCTGCTCTGTCATGCAGTTCAGGCACTTCCGAGTAACTTAGTTAGATAAGTTTTGTTAGCACAGCTTGAGGAAAATATTTTTTTCTTGCGACCATACCTCAGATTAGGACGCTAGAATACAGACTAAAGATTATGACGCAAGAATACAGACTAAAGATTATGATGCAAGAATACAGACTAAAATTTATGACGCAAGAATACAGACTATAGATTGGCCTCCGCAACTCAACTCACTCCACATCCGCCGCGCTCGCCTTATATAGCCCCGATCACGTGTCGACCCGCACTGGCTTGAGGCGTCGCTTGAATTTCCCTGACGACAAGTGTTTTCCCCTAAATCTAAGTTTCCTTTTCTTGTGTACAATCCCTATTTATTCCTATTCCTAATCATCGTCGGTTTTAATAAATCTTTAACGGTTATAGTTATATTCTTCTATACTAATCATATGTNCATTTCTTCAGACTCTCCCAAGATTATTATTTTCCGCTTTTAAGCCCCGTTTCAGAACAGTTTTATGTGGGAAGAAAAAATTTGCCCTGCTAATTATTTTATAAGAATGATTTTCATTGAAACGCGTGAGAGCATAAACATTAATTGTCCGGTTAATTAATCCGGTCAAATGACACGAGTTTAGATCTATGAACAAGGCACGAAAAGGAAAAGAATCGGCGACAGGCCACATCAGGCCTACACTTCAGCGCCGACATCACTATGTTATGTTATGTTAAGAAGATGCAGTGCCACTGCAACGACTGATCATTAGTTTTTAAGCGAATTTTCAGTACATTGAAGAATATGCCTTCTGACATTATTTCCGTAAATCGTGAAATTTACGTTAAATCAGAGAATGCGTGTCGATTAAGCGATACCCGTGACTTTAGCAAATCGAATCGACAACGGTCATTTTTAAATTTTCTCTCATCAACACCATGACGAGAAACCCTTACCTTCACTGATCGTCAGTTTCTTTTAAGAAGAACAGTTCGAAAAAATACAAATCACACATGTTCGGAAGCATTGTAAGGCTAACTTTAGTCATTATCGGCCCGCTGGACGAGAATTCTTCCTACTTCTCCAGCGCCAATCCGTCAGCCTTTCTTCCGCATCAGCGACAACCTGAACCAATCCCAACCGAGTGCGGAACCTGGCTGTCCAAATCCGCCCTTCGAGACGCTCTCCTTCCAATAACGAAACAAATTTACAGTGGGATGTATTTTAGCAAACACCGACATTGAAGCTCAATGCTGGGGAAATGTTCGTGAAAGTTTAAATGAACTGATATAATAGAAAAAAACAACATTCGTGATTTTTTTAAATATTTGATATCTCTAATCTACCCACAGACAATTAAATTAAAATCAAAATAAAAATGTATCATTTTGAATTCTGTTACGTGTTTTGAATAAAAATTTACGAGTATTAGTTTAGGTTATCTATCACTTACTGCATTCTTCGATTTGAAAAGACAATCTGTTGCCGGCGCTCGACATGAGCGCAGGGCTGATGTATGTTGTTATAATCCATGGATATTTCTGATCGCTGAAACCTTTATACACGTTTAATTTAAACCTTTATACACGTTGTCTATGTTTAGCTATCGTTAGTAATGATTGAAATTGCCAACTGTTTCAGTAGAGCAGTGACAGCCGAGTGCAGAAAATATTAACAAACTGAATCCTTTATTCTAGAAAAACCAAACCCATCTTTTGAAGCGATTGATAAACCAGCTTTCATGACGGTTGTTGCAATGAATTTTATAATTGATACAAGAAGATTAGTGACATAGATATGTCCTATTATTTACGACGTGGTCATTAGTTTTTACTATCCGGCCTTGATAATATAAGTGACCGCAGTCATTTAGAAAAATCTGCTGCGGAGGTCCGTACGCACTCCGGAACTCATCAACATTCGGAGGAAGTTGTACATGGGACCTTGTTCAAATAGCGGTGCAGATCTTGCCTTTGTCTGGGCTATCCTGAAATAGTTAAGGCCGGGTAAGAGAACGCATCATTTGTTACGTGCATTTTCTACTCATACTTTGGGTAAGAAAGTGTGTCACTTTTTGTACAATATAGCCCTTCCATTTTTCTAAGTGTATGTAGACATGCAGTGCCTTACCTTCTGTCTTATAGGTCCAACGGTTCGAAACTCGCTGAGTTTCATGATAAACAAAGTTTTCACAAAACAATGTTTGCAAAATCTCATGATAATCAGGCCTGTCTTTGATGCGATACATTAATTTATGTAAGCGCTGGTTGATTATGGTAATTCTCTTAGATTTCCGGCCTTACGCTGAAATAAGTTGATTAGCTCCACGAATTTAGCTATTTTTTCTGTCATTGTAATGACAATAAGCATTTATTTTGTCCCAGTGAATAACAACTACCGTTTTAAAATAATTTTTCCGCTTCATTTTCAGTTCATTTGATGCAGACCTGCACAAATAATTAATTTTGCTCATGAGGGATGATGAACTTTAACTTTCATTCCCAGAGCATGACGATGGCATTCAATCTAACTAATATTATTGACTTCCATCATAATACATCATAATTATTGTAATATAATTTAATAATTATCTTTATCAATACGTAACTGCGCAACTTGTAATTTCGTGCGCGGCTAGAACATGGTGATGGAACTAAATTAAGACAATTTCAGTTAAGGTTATTGTTCAATTAATTCTTTCATAATGCATTTTGCAGTTTGTTTCTATTTATGTCAAATTCTGTATCATTTTATGTTTTAGAAAATCATATAGCTTTTTAGAATTAAAATTGTATGTTTTTAACTATTTTTTCCTGCATGTACTTAGAAAACGAATACAAAAATCTCATCTCTCATCTTCGGCGCACCACGGTCGTCTCGTAAATCTTACGGCCTCGAAGAAATGATCGAGCGGCCATTAATTGTGACCATGTGTGAGAATAGCTAGTGTAATATGAGAATAAATCACGTGGAATTGATACACCAAATCTATTTGTATCTAAACAGCTTGGTATTTCAATTATTCTCCAATTATTCTTTGTAATTATAAAGAGATTCGTTGGCAGCACTCCCTTCGTAAATCACACACGGTCTCGAAACAAAATAATCAGTTCTGAACAGTTTTGAGTTTCAAAGCTTTTTACTTTAAAATGTTTCGGTTATGTTCACTTTGACAATGCACAAAGCGGTTCACAGTTTCAGTAATGTAGTTCAAAAGAAGGTTATGTTCGGGATAAAAACATTCGAGATGGTCCCACTAAGACTTGGAACTGTCCGATTTATTAAGGATAAATATTAGCCTATATAAGATACAGGGAGCCTACCACAGATCCGGTTTGTTAAACATTTATAGAAATTAAATGTTGTATTAACTAATATGTTTCAGATTAGTTTATTCGCTCATAATTATAGGTAGGTTAAGATGAATCTTGGGTTATATTATTCACATCCGTTCAGAGATGAGCTGCTGATTTCACTGATCCAGCTCCATAAATCGTAGCTAATAATTTCTGCGCTATACTTTACTTCAATTTAGGTGACACACTATATCACTCGCACACATCAATATAATTTTATTTCATTTTCATTCCTAATATACGTAAAAAATTTGTCTCGGATAATAGTGTATTCACATTCTTACCGATAAAAAATATGAGCTTTAAATTGAGATAATTAAATCATAAGCACTGAAAATTCAAAGCAATTTCGAGTCAGTTCATGGACACCTGAAAAACCTGTACACTCAGACATGCCCATGGGTCTTATTGTGCAAATAGGGTCATAATTGCTGCTCTGATAAATCCTTTTTCCGGGCAAAATTTGGTAAATATGAAATGACCAAAATAAGGGTAGAAGTGCATCGATATTTGGACAAAGTCTCATTAATTTCTGTGAGTGTATCATCTCGTCCGCATCAGTATAGTTCGTGCCAGCAGGCAGGTGCTGATGGCGACGTCGCTTATGGCTCTCAACACGTTGATCACCTCGCGGCCGCCATTAATTAATAAACT